ATGGTCACTTAATAAGTTATATAAAATTTAATCACTGGAGTGTACACCTGAAACTAATATACTAAGTAAAAAACAAAACATGATTTAAATTAAGAATGCCATGTTAAGTTACACTTAGAATCACCAGTAGGAAAAGCTAGACTATGAGGCTTCTTGTCTAAAAAAAACCAAATATATATGTATATATCTATACACACACACACTCGCGCTCGCGTGCACGCACACACACACATGTACATATATATTCAATGAAAAGCAAAGGAAATATAAGAAATATGATAATATATATTTTAAAAATATAACAATACAGAAATTTAGATGAGGTAACTAAGACCATAACTATTGCACCAATATGTATAAATAGGTTAAGCTTACCAATGAAAAGAAAAGACTCCTAAGTTGGATTGCAAAGTAAAATTCAATTATAGCTGCATAGAAGAACATATAAAAACAAAACAAAAAGATTCAGAAAGTTTAAAGTAAAAATATATAGGCAAAATATATGAAGAAAATTCAAATAAAAATAATATAAGTTTTGTCATATTCAGCAGGCAAGACCAAAAACAAGCAAAGCATTAAAGGAGATAAACTTCATAATGAAAACTTTATAATCTAAAATAAAGATTCACTATCTACAAATGTTCCAAAATCAAATAAGACAATATCAACATTCATGATGTAAAGTCACAAAAGTAAAATAAACAACCACAGGTAATCTCAACAACACTGTCAAACACAATTAATTAATTGAAATGTATAGAAAACTAGACACAAAATTCTTTTCATGAGCACATGGTATATTCACAAAGATATACTATAGTTCAGTCAATAAAATGTCTCGTATTTACAAAGATTAAAATAAAAAACTTAAAATTTAACAATATTAAAGTATCTAGAAAAATGCAAAATATTTGGAAGTGTGCCAAAACACTTCTAAAGTATTCATGGGTCAAAGAAGAAAGCACAAGAAAAATTAGAAAATATTTTTAACTGAATTATGATACATGCACAATACAACAAAACTGTGAGTCGCACTGAAGCAGTGCTCAGAAGAAAATGTATAGCTTTAAATGATCTTATTAGAAACATAGAAAGGGCTAAAATCAACATGCTTGGGTTCAAAATTAAGAAGTTAAAAAAACAAACAAATAGGCAAAGTAAGCTAAAAGTACATAAAAAAACGAAAGAAAAGAACAGAAATGCAGAAATCAACTGAATAGAAATCAAATAATTATAAAGAGTAGCAAAGTGAAAAGCATATTTTGGTTAAAACCAATAAAATTGGTAAGATAATCAACAGAAATAAAAGAGAAAGAATGCAGATTACCAATGTCAGGAAAGAAAAAAAATTCACTAAAAATCTTATAGACATTAAAGGGATAATAATGGAATAGTAACAACTTTATGCTTTCAAATTTAACTTAAAAAGTGAATGTAAATTCCTTGACAAATACAGTTAACCAAAATTAACACAAAATCAAAGAAAAATAATGAGCTATCCAACATTTATTTCAAAAATATAACTTTATGCCCAGCCAGTGTGGCTCAGTGGTTGAGTGTCAACCCATGCACCAAGAGGTTGCCAGTTTGATTGCTGCTCAGAGCACATGCCCAGGCTGGGGCCCAATACCCAGTGTGGGGCATGCAGGAGGTGACCAAATCATGTTCTCGCTCATAGATGTTTCTATCTCTCTTTCCCTCTCTCTAAAATCAATAAAGAAAAAATATTTTTTTTAAAATGTGTGTATATGGATATAGTAGATATATAGATACAAATATACACTTTATTATCAAAAACTATCCATCAAAGAAATCTCAGGTCTAGAAGATTTTCCTTGTAAATTCTACCAAACAATCAAAGAAGAGATAACACCACTCATATACAAAATATTTTAGAAAATAAAAGAGGATAATGCACTTTCAATCTTGTTTAATTTTTATTAAAAAAAAAAATTTTTTTCATTATTGAGTTTAGAGACAGAGGAAGGGAAAGGGAGAGATAAAAACACCGATGAGAGAGAACATCAATTGGCCACCCCTCACATTTCCCCCACTGGGAATTTTGCCCACAACTGGGCATGTGCCCTGACCAGGAATTGAACTGGTGACCTCTTGGTGCATGGGTCGATGCTCAACCACTGAGCCGTACCGGTCAGGCCCCATCTTGTTTTATGAGGCTGGCATAGCCTTAATACCAAAATCTGGCAAAGATATCATAAAAGAATGAAAATAATAGACTAATATCCCTAATAAACACAGAACACAACTCCTTAATTAAATATAAGCAAACTAAATCCATATGTATACAAAAGGGATAATATACCATGATGAAATGTGTTTATCTTAGGAATGCAAGGTTGATTCAATACTTAAAAATCCTAATAAAAATAAGATTTTAAAAATGCAGCCAAGCTGCTGGGAATTTAAATATGCATGAATAAACATAAATTCTTAAAAACAAGGTAAGAGGAGAGTAACTCTAACACATATTAAAACATACATGAAGGTTAAAATCATTAAAGCCATTTCGTACTTTAATAAACAGATAATGGAGTAAAATGCAGAATACAGAAGTAGACACAAATACACATGGTAAAGTATACATGATAAAGGGGGAATGGAGTATTGAATAACTGATGTGCAGACATCTAGCCTGCCATCTGGATAAGAACATAAAGCTGGCTGCACATGCTTTTCCTTACTTAAGGCAAGTTCTGTGTGAAAAATCAATTAACCATTCTTAAAAATAAAATTATAAAAACACTAGAAGTAAACTTGGATGTATATTTTATAATTTCAGTGTAAAGGAGGACTTTCTTAATTAGAAGCCTTGAAAGACTAATAAATTTGACAACTGAAAACTCAAAACAGTGGGAAATAGCATTTAAAAAGTTAAAAGAGATATAACAAAGTAGGAAAAAAAATTTGCAACATATATGGCAGACAGGAGACCATGTTCTTTGATATATAAAGAGCTCTTATAAGTCATAAGGAAATATTTAATATCTCAATAGAAAAATATACAGTATATATATGTATGGGCTATGGTCATAAATAGGCAGTTCACAGAAAAAGAAATAAAACAGCATTTAAAAAAATATGTTTTATTGATTTTTTTTAGAGAGAGAGAAACATTGATGTGAGAGAGAAACATCTATTTGCTGCTTCCTGCACGCCCCCTACTGGGGATGGAGCCTGAAACCCTGGCTTGTGCCCTGACTGGGAATCCAACTGGGATCTCTCAGTCCATGTGACTGGCGTTCAATCCACTGAGCCACTCTGGCCAGGCTAAAATCTCTTTTAACATAAGGAAAACACCCTCAACTTTCTTCAAATTTTAGTGATGAAATATAAACAAAAATAAGATATTTTTCTTTATCTCATTGACAAAGTAAAGGAGTTTCATAATATGCAATATTAGTAAAGATGTGTAAAAAAGGATACTCATATTCCACAGGATCATAAATTGGTGCCACCTGTATAGAGGGCAATGCGGCAATATCTACCATTTAAAGTTCATGACTTTTGATCTAATAATTCCACTTACAAAAATTTACATTGCAGACACATTTACACATTTGTACACAGTCCTATTGACAAGGATATTCATAGCTGCATTGTTTGTAGTAGAAAGGTAAAAATAAATATCCATTAATGAGGGGCTGAATAAATAGATTAGCCTTAAAATTAAATATTCTGCACTATTAAAAAGACTGAGGTTGATATATAGGTGATTATACAATAAAGTTTCCAAGGTATATTACTGGGTAAAATCACTTAGGCAGAACAGCTTTTGACATGTGTACCCATTGGATAAAATAATTTGTGTGTGGGAGTATATATTTACAAATGTGTACAAACACGCATGTGTCCCTACAAAGACATTTTTATTCTTATATATTTATAGACTATTTCCTTTAAAAAAAAAAAATGAAACTGCTAGCACCTATGGAAATCATTCTGGGAAACTAAAAATCTGGATTGAGAGAACTATTTCCTGAAAATAAACATTTTCTGTAATGTTTATATATGGGCTTACAGTGTGCATATATTATTGGAAAATAACACCAGTTCAAAAAGTTAGTGAACTAAATCAATTAATCACTTCTTGCATCCATGAAAAGAGTAAATTAAAAATAGGTCTTTGACATGGTATGCTTCATGTAAGGAAAACTAGTCACTTGATCGAGCTCTGACTTTTTCACTATTTTAGAAAGATTTTCAATTCCCATTATGTGGTAGGCTCAATACCATGTGCTAAAAAGTACCTGCCTTCAAGGAGCCCATGGATTAATGGGAAGAGCTCATATTCTGAGTTCAGAGGAAAACTGCATTTTTGCTTAGACCTAAAATGTTAGATCTAAATATCTTTCTGAGAACATAACAAGAACTTACGCAGTTCAACAATCCTCCTCTGTAGACATCACCAGGTCTTTTGGTAACTGTCAACATCTCTGAGATGATGTTCCCTCCACTAAGCTTCCAAGGAAGATGCAAATAGACTTCTTTTAAGACCTGTCCATTGAGCTTTACAGAATAATTTTAATTCCCAAAGGCATTATCCTTTTTCCACCTCCACTCCTTTGGTTGTGCTATTTCTTCTGCTTGGAATGTTCTTAGACTTTTGCTCTCCTTCTTTGGCTAACTCCTACCCAACATCAAATATTGGGTCAGGTGCTTCTCCAGGAAAGCCTGGCTTATTATCTGCCAAACAAATCAGTTGAGAACCTTCCCTACCATTCTCCCTCTGCTCTTTCCACTTTATATTTAACAGCTTACTTATCAGGTTTTCATAACAAAGTAACAACTTACTCAAAATGTTATCCCTGTCTGACACAGAGTAGGAATTCAATGATTGTTTGATGAGTTCCACAGTAGAACTTCAGTGTTCTCCCCTAACTTCTCCCAGCTTACAGAACTAAACTGAATGTTGTCATTGTTTTCCCTAAATGTTCTGCTCCCACTACAGCACTTCGCCAAGTGTAAGTCATCATACTCACTTGTCCAGGGACATCCCAGGGAAGGCAAACTCGCCCAGGCAGATGCGATAGATAGCACTCAGAGGAATTCGCTGCAGCTGCACACAGCTGAGCATGATGAAGTCATACTTGCAGATCAAGAGGGTCTTGTCTGTGACCAGCAAAATCCTCTCCTTCTCATTGTTCCAGTGATCTATCCTGCAAGAATCATCACAAAAAAGTATAGTTGATGGCATAATCTTTCCAAGTTAAAGATAATGGCATTCACTGAATCATCTCTAGGAACACAGAAGATGGTGAAGTTTGATCATTCAGTAAAAAGAGGAGTTGAGGAGTACCAGCTCCTCTCTCTCTCAGTCTGGCTCCATGACCAAGGTAGTGGAAGGGTGGAAGCTCACAGGGAAATGTCATATGGTCACAGAGCTCAGAGATGATGACCAATAACGGGATCCATTAGGGGAATAGTAAGTTTGTATTCTGTTGGCAGTCAGCTGATTCATGCTCCTCCATATCTTCCCAGTTCTCTAGGAAACCTACATTTTCTTCAAGAACACCAAAAACATCTCTTTGTTCTAATACAATCTGCACCACAAATTTGACTCACTTGGCACTGCTGTATGCCAATCTACCCAGATCATATTGCTGACTGGAGATAAAATGGAGATTTGAACATAGGTTCACTGATGCCCAAGCCGTCACTGTTTTAAGCTCATCCATATCCTTGTGGTGGAAACATAGTGAAACAAGTGACGTGGGATCCTTATGAGCTAAGGATAAACTAGACACTAGATACATGTTTCTTGAGTTGATTTCCTTCATACATGAGAGCCTTTGGGGGCATGCATGGAAAATTCAGTGATAGCATTATCTTGAACAGAGAACAAGAAGGAATCAAAACAATGGCTTCTGGTTAAAAGAAAGTGGACATGGCCTATAATTCCTCTCGCCCACGGCACTTCCGCCTTTGGAATACAGCACTTGATGACTTGTATTAGAATTATTTTAGAACATGTTTTGTCTTCCCTAAGAGACTAAAAAGGGTGATTTGTGATTGAGTTATATCTAAATCCCTACTCCCATCCATGCACAGTAACAACAGGGCTATTCTTAAAATACAACAGGAATAATATCACTCCTTGTTCACCTTATTAAATAGCCTCTAACTGGATTGCAGGTCCTTGAAGGGTCTGGCCTCTGCCCAACATCATCTCACAGAAGGATGAGAAAACGCGTTGTTCACATCATGGCTCACATGCCTCATCCAAAGATGATTTCATAGTCTCCTATGTAAACCTAGCCCTTATTACACTACCTCAAATCATCCTGATCTTGTTTCCTTTATGGTACTTGTCACCATGTATAAGAAGAAATTCTATGTAAAAATTTTAGTGACAGGTACCACCGGGCACTGACAAATCAGAATGGACACCATAATACAGGGGGTAGAGCAATGGCAGGGAGACAGGCAGAGTATCATCTGTGTGTGTGCATGTGTGTGCGCGTGCGTGTATGTGTGTGCGCACGCGCTTTTCATGAGGGCACCTGGAGACAAGACTAGTATTCATCTCCTTAGTTTGCAAAAAGAATTAAGGAACCTGATTCTCAATCAGTGTTCTATACATTAACGGTCATTATCACTGGCAGGGACCTAAGTCACTAAATAATTTTGGGTAACCCAAATGTATGCCATTACTCAGTATAATCTAAAGAAAGACAAGCAAGACAAAGTGAGGAGTTAAATCAATGGGAGGATAAGTAGGAGGAGATATGAAGGGGAGAAAAAGGGACAAGGAGAAAGAAAGAGGAAAGGAAGAAGCAGAAGAAGGAAGATAAGAAGGATGGGATCATTGATGGAGGTCCTATTGCATGTCGACAATGTATGTATAGGTATTAACTCTGCATCTCCCTACCACCCTTTGAAGAAAGGCATTATTTAAAGTCACTTAGCTAGAACATGCTAGTAGGTTTAGTGGTGCTGAGTCTGAGAGATCTGGTTTAAATCTTGGTTCAAAGGTTTCTATCTACTCCAACAACACTGCAGTACTCAACTCTTCACCGAGTGAAGGAGAGAATTCTTAATGATCTGTTTAACACTCTCAGTCTTAGTCAGAAAGAGAAGGGGACTCTGAAATGTCTTATCAGATATCTACATAAATGTCTCTAAATAGACTGCATCTATTTAGCAGCAAGTTATAAGCTGCTGCCTAATAAACCAGACTTGTTTTCAGTCTAAAAAAACTGCAGCTTTTGGTTGAATGGTTTTATTGAAAATGTCAGCACTCCATAATGAGATTTATTTTAAAAGGTAAAGGATTTGGAGAAAAAAGGAAATTCTTTTTAGGAACACAGAGTGCTCTGCTTTGACACAGACTCTGCATAATTCACAAGTTGGGGAAGTCTGAATTCAAGTAAACACGCAGACTTATAAATAGTTTGGGGCCACCATCACTGGCTCCTAGGTGGTGTACTTATTTATTTAGACTTCAGTCATACCCCCCACCCCCAGAACTCATGAAGAAACATTGAATTTCATATTCCTAAAATTTATATAATTGAAGTTTGTTGGTGATAAAATCTGGAACAAATATAGGAGTGGAAATAACAATCATATATGTCGTGTGTGTACAACCCGTAGAGGTTTACAAAGTCCTTGAATGACAATGCTCTCATTTCATTCCCACAACAGAAGATGCTATTACCTTCATTTTAAAGACAACAGAACTAAGGTCCAGACACCCTTAAAATGACTTGCCCAGTGCTTTATGCCCGCCGAGCAGTGGTGCAGGGACCGTAAATTGAGATGCCAGTTTTAGCCGTAGCGTTGGCTTTCTCCACAGTATCACCCACCTCCAAATAAAGGAGCCTGCAGTATGATGTAAAAATGTGGGAAAATCCACCTCTGGAAGAAGGTGGTGTGATGATATGTATCACTCCTAGAATTATTCTCTCTGGGAAACTTCTCCCTAGGACAACACTCATGACTGTCCTTCCCAAACCTTGTCCTCGTCATGTTTTCTGTCTTGGGGAAGAACCCTCGTTCCATTCAGTTATGCAAGCTAGAGACATAGGAGTCACTCTGGACTAATCGCGTTTCCTCACCTCACATGCCAAGTCGTAGACATTTTATTTCCAAAATATCTCTCAAAACTACACACTTCTCACCTCTACCTTCACCATCCTGATCCAGGCTTCCCTCATCTGCTGCCTGAGCTACAGATCAGCCTCCCCCTGGCTGGGCTACCAGTCTCCTAGACCTGGCTGACCTACATCTGCTCTCGTTGCCTTCCAACCTCTTCACCGTACTGCAGGGAGGTGGACCTCTAGGAAAACCAATCTGGGCCCTACCGCCGCACTCTGGCTTCGACCTTTCAACAGCTACATAAACACACTTTAACTATTCTTGAGCATTCTTATGAAAAAATGACAAAAATGCTCCCCCTGGTCTAAGAGGCTCTGCAGGGTCAGGCCCTACCTACTTCTGCACCCTCATCACAGACCAAGTCTCTTCACTCTACTCTCCTTGGTTTTCTTTCAGTTTCTTGTATGCAGCATGTCCACACCTCCTAAAGGGCCGCTGAACACGCTGTTCCCTCTGCTAGCCATGCTTTGCTCATCTTCTTTACCCAGCTAACTCCTACAGTGGAGCTCAATATTACTTACTCCGGCACGTGTCCCCAGACCTCTGGGACTGCTTTTCTTCTAACATACACTTTCATGGCACCTCACAGTTCTCCCTAATAGTATCTATCCCAGATGCAATTTTACAGCTATTTCTATGATTATCTAAGTAATGTCAGTCTCCTCTCCTACACTGTGAACCATACAAAGATGAAGTCCATTCTTAGCTTTGCGTCCCCAACGTCGTAGGTGTCCAAAAATATTTCTGAAATAAATTAATAAAGAATGAACAGTCCCGGTGCTGTGCAACCAATAAGCCTTGACTCATGGGGGAATTCCTGTGAAAAACTGAAAAGCTCCCCAATAAAAGAGCACCTTTAAAAAATCAGCCTTGGGCCCTGGCCAGTTTAGCTCAGCGGTAAGAGCATCAGCCCGCAGACCAGAGAGTCCAGAGTTCGGTTTCCCCTAAGGACATGTACCTCGGTTGCAGTTTGTCCCTGGCCCCAGTTGGGGTAGTGTGGGTGGCAACCACTCGATGTGTCTCTCTCACACCGATGTTTCTCTCTCTCTCTCTTCCTCCCTCTCTCCCTCCTGCTCTATCTGAAGATAAATGCAAAAATGTTCTTGGGTGAGGATAAAAAAAAAAAAAAATCAGCATTGGGAAAATGTGCATTCCATAATAGTGAGAACAAGATACAAAATGTTACCTTCAATACACTTTTAATTTTGTAACAACAACCACAGAATACATAGATCAAAATTTCTGTGTGGTGAGATTTCAAGCCACTTATTTCTTTTCATGCTTTTATAAATCAGTTTAATTCTTTTTTACAATGAACATATTCTATTTTTTTGATAAAAAGAGAATTTTTAAAAATAACAAATTTCACCTATCCTTCAAGTTCTCAGCTTAAATGCTTGCCATTTCATGGGGAGGCTCACCCTCACCTCCTCCCCCACCCCAAGTGCATACTCTCTTTCTTTTCCTTTAAATACACACGAGCCTTCATCAGTGCCTCAGTTGTGACTCTAGTCACAATCTTGTCTATAGTGTAGTGATTTCTGTGCTTGTCCTGCCATTCCCCCCACATTTGATTCATAAACGTTGACTTAGTCCTGTCTGGGTCCCCTCACTGTGCTCAGCACAGAGCCAGTGAGGAGAGAGCAGGGTCTTAGCAAGTGAGCACAGCATGAAATAAAAAATAAAAACTAGAACTGTAAGATGCAGTCATTGCGAGAGCCAGTCTCTGCTGGCAGAGGTTTTGCCACATCTCCTCCCCACACCAGTGTTCCTAGCGTCATTTAGGGACCCGTCCCCGCAATATATGAGGAACCTCCGAGCTCCGTGAAATTTGTATTTTCCTGGGATGACAACAGTTTAGCCAGCAGAGGGCAACAGCGAACTAACAATGAGGAAGGACCTGTCAGAGCAAGTTTCCGGAACATCCACCCCAGAAGCCTTCCCAGAGGTCCCAGCCCTACGCCTAACAATAATTTCAGTTGCTCTTTTAAAGCTGTGTCAAATCAATTTGTGGTTTGGAAATTATTTTCTTTCAAAAATACTTTTTTCTAATATTATT